GTGAAATATATTGTATTAATAATATGTTGTAACCACCCCCAAACAATGTTACAACTGTCCCCGACCCCGGGGTCAGTTGRAACATCTGACTTTTCATTTTCAAATYCAAATAGTGAAGAATGTACATGATTTAATCATCTATAAATGGGTTTGACTATTAACAGACAGATGTAAGTTTATTGTGTTAAAATTTGGTTTGTTTAATTCAAACCATCTCTGATGAACAGAGTCAAATGTAAAAAAAGTGTTGCAGCTGTCCCCGGTCTGCCCTATCAGAATTTCATCAATATCTGTAACCTGCATTACTTGTGAACAGAGGTACTGTGATGTACTTTATGTTGTATATTTATTTATTTATTTATTTCCTTTTTTGATGTAGGCCAGTGACGAGAGGAACTACCATGTGTTTTATGAGCTGCTGGCAGGTATGAATGACTGGGACAAACAGGAGCTCTACCTGCAGGGAGCTGAGACCTATTACTACCTAAACCAAGTATGACTCAACAACATCTCCTATTTTTCCATTGCAATGTCTAGATTGATTTCCATTTCTGTCATGCAGGGGGGTGCCTGTGAGCTAAGGGGAAAGCAGGACAAACAGGACTTTCAGCTTTTGGTTCAATGTTTTGAAACAATTGGCCTTCGCACTGATCAGGTCTCCATCGTCTGGGCTGTCCTCTCCTCTATCCTGCAACTCGGGAACATCTGTTTCACTTCTTATGAGGTGTGGGTTAGTGAGCAAGAGAGAAGTATTAACCATATTAAAGACTAATTTAATAAATCAGCTGTGTTGTTTCAGAGTGAGTCCTTTGAGGTGGCTCGAATCTTCAGTGAGGCTGAGGCCCGAAGGGTTGGCTCTTTGTTGCAAATTTCCTCTGAAGCTCTGCAGACAGTCATTACACACCGAGTCACAGTGAGTAGCTTCTCATAAACCACTTAGGGCCCCTTGGTGAGCATGTTCACACTGATGGGCTTTATTGTTGCAGGAGACCACCTACGATAGGATCTATTGCCCCCTGTCTGTGGAAAGTGCCATAGAATCAAGGTAATGACTAAATATTTTAAGGACCTGGGGTCTCATGTGTCAACAGTGTGTACTCACAAAAACCACCCGCTTCAGATGTTATCATCCATGAAATGGACGTTATTAGGTGTTATCAGTCCCCTAGAATGGCTTCAGAATGTCCCGCCTGTGCCGGTTAGCAGGTTCCCCGTCCCATAGAATTACTTCTGATTGTCAGCTGGTTAGTATTGAGGCATAAAAAATTGGTTAATATGAGGCATAAAACCACTAAGGTTAATTTTAGAGCAAATGGCATAGTTAGCGCTAAAGACACTGCCTTCCAACGCTTATATAACGTGGCTTGCCAATAGGGCAATGGGTAGAGTGTTAGACCAAAGAGCGCGAGACCAGGGCTCAAGACCGACATAGACACAAAAAATTTATTAAAATATGTTTTGGTTATTTACACATTCATTGTCATTGATATATTAACCC